GGAGAGGAGAGGAGAGGAGAGGAGAGGGGGGGAAGGGGGAAGGGAAAAGGAAAAAAAGGAAAAGGAAAAGGCTTCTACTGTAATCAGAGCCAGGCTTGAATCCTGAGCACAGCTGTAAAACATACAGATGTGAACCTGAACTTTATTTGCTTTGTTCAATATCTAGTCAAAATGCTGCATTTTCTGCTTACTAATTTCTCGTAAAGGCTGTGGAGCAGCAGAACTATTAATATGTGTTTCTTTTTTTTTGCAACAGTGAGTTAGCAGGAGGAAAGGAGCAAACATTGAAACTACTGTAAATTTAGTAGGTCAAGGAAACTTGAGGATTGAACCTAATGGCCTAGTTTATTGCAGTTGTGACAGAAACTGTACTGTTTGTACAGGAGGACTTTTATTCTTCAGAAGCACAGAAGGTTGCAGGTTAATTGCAATTAACTGCTTTTTCCCTCCCCTTCTTGACCAAGGCAGCTACCTCAGGTCACAGAAGTAGAAGCCAGAATTAATGTGTGTGGATAAGAAATGTAAAATAGAAGACACCTAAGTTTTGCTTAGGTTATAATGACAGTAAAAATTTAGTTTGGGAAGAACATATTATAATAATGTACATAAAGTATTGCATATTTAAAGAAATTGATTTTGTATTAAATTCTAACACTATATTGGCATACCATTTTCCAATTAAAGAGACTTCAACAGAGTTTTTCTAATGTAGTTAAGTATTCTGCATAGATACCAGATTCATAAAGTAGCAGTTAGCTGTGGAGTATTACTTACCTGAAGAGTAACAAGTAATGTACAGTACTATTTGCTATAGTGGTGAACCAACTCATCAATTAGTTGACACTAATTGAATGAATGCAAAATGTGACTGAAAATAATGTTGCATATACGAGTGTTGTCCCTTTAAATTCTAGTGGTTAAGCATTGTGGGTGTTTTAAGTTACAGCTTGAAAAGATCCTGATTAATCTGGTGACAGATTCTTATCAGACATCTATTTACAGTGTCTCCATTACCTCAGCATCCAAAAACAAACCACGTCCGGAGCATGCTTCCCAACTCTCCAAGCTGCAGGGCTTTTCCTAAATGACTAAATAACGAAAACTAAATAACGAAAACCATTTATTTTAAGAGGGTAACAAATAGTGGTTTGTGTGTCTTTGATGTAGACCTGACAGCCCTAATGCTTTGGGTAGTAAGCTGCAGCTTTGAGACTCCGAAGGGAGCGCAGGTCTGGAAGTGGCTGTTTTGCAGCCTGCCCGCTGTGTTCTCACTACACTGCATTTGCTGCCCCGGCACTTGCCAGCTCCGCTGTGTGCGCCGGCGGCTGGAAGTAGCCGGGATGCATCGGACCTGTTACACTTGTACAGATAAGCTGTGCATGCACAGGAGAGCTGTCACGACCCGTGACACGACCTGAGGTATTTGTGGGTCTGTCAGTGCGGTGTGAAGAACTGGTTTGCCACTGAATATGAGGTTCTGGAGGGTGAAAGTGTCAAGTAGATTTGATACCCTTTTTCAAATACATTTCTGAGGTTGGTCACCAGCACTATGTGTAAATGGAAGAACCTGGCAGTGTTTGACAGCTTCTGGGCTTGGGTGGATGTCCTGGCCACGTAAGCAGTCCTTGTCAGGACAAAATCCATGTAGGGCCCTGGTCCTCTCCCACTTTTTTTCCGGAGATATGCAGGCATATATGTTTGTGGGATCTATGACAAGTCCCCAGTCTGGGCAACTGTAAGATCAGAACAAGGAGGAGAGCTGTGACGAGCATCAGCAGTCTGTCTGCACTGGCAAGAATGCAGGACCTCCATCCCAGCCACACGCTCAAACTAGAAATATTACCTAAAGCCCTGAGTGTTGCAGGGAGGAAGCTTTCACGCTCATGCAATCTGCATCATTTCTTCTGCGGCGCGTCCCATGTAGCCATGATGAGCTCTGCTTCCCAGACAGCATGCTACTCTTGGGACACTGAGGATCTTTCTGTTCAAGACCATGATGAAATCATCTGACAAGGAGGAGAGAGCTGAAAATTATGTCAGCACTAAATGTAGATGGGGGTCTGGGATAGTTTTAGTCAAGCTTTCCTTCTTTTTAGTTGTGGAGTTTGCTTAGGGTTGGAGCTAGTTTTTGCATGGCAGTGGCCATTTTATTTTGCGCCCACTAGATCTGCCTCTCTATCACCAAGTGTAGGTGAACAAAAATGCAGGATGAAGGCCAGTTTACATGCACTGTTCTGCTAGCAAACCCTCTACATCTGTATTTGTAAGCCACTACCTGCCCCACTGGCCTGCATCTGTCCCCACATCAGATCCTTTTCCCTGGGTTTTATTCACCCTGATGTGCCTGCAGCTGCTGTGCTGCTTCACAACGGTCAGTGAAGAACACTGTGCCTTCTCCCAGTGTCCATGTGTCCTCCCAGAGTCAGCCCTCAGAAGCAGTGCTTCCCAGTCACTTTGGGGATGCAGATGTGATGGTGGGGTCAGAGATCTACAGCTATGTTTCAGATCTTGGCCGTTGTCCTCCAAAGCAGGTCATGCTGGCTCCATGTAAGGGAAGGAAACTTGTGGACAAAACTAACTTTAGTTAATTAGGAGAAGCATGTTCAGAGTCTGCCAGTGACTAACAGCCTCAGCTGCTGCTGCTAGGGACACCCTCTTGCTAAATGCTAAGAAATTTTACTATGCGAAGGTCCTTCTGAAGTTACTGCTGCTTCTGGGATTCCCCTTTCTGCTTTGCAAAAAATGTTGTTTAATCCCTTCTTATAGAAGAAAGAACATAGACGTATGTGTTCATAATGTCAGTGAGCTTTCTCTGAGCAGCCCCTCAGTCTGCCTTCCCATTTACACTCACATTCAGGGACGTTTGAGTTGTTCAGAGATGAGGCTCTTGGCTTAGAGGCATGCTCAGCAGAAGACTTCCTGCAGTGGGATTTCCATGAGACATGGGAGGGACTTCTTTTTTCCAAAGAGATGCTGGCAAATCTACCATCCTCCTCCATGTGAGAGAAAGGTGTGGAGATTTCAGTAGAAAGAAACATCCCCTATGTTGGCAATTAATTATAAACTGAAAACCTGTTGGAACTAGGATAAATAACGGTAGGACAAGTCCTCATGGGCTGTATTCAGAAAGACAACAGAAATACACATCTCTCTCTCTGTTTAGGTTTAGTGTACATGGTTTGACTGAGAACCCATACACGGGTATGTATAACATTTTTAACTGGGAAATCAGAGAAGGCATGTTTTTGCCCTAGATAATAGAACCAGGAGCGACAGCTGTTTCACAGTGCATCTTGCCTTAGTTGCCCGCCCTGATAATTATTCGGCAATTCAGACTGTGCTTCACTACACTGAGGCACCACCTTGATCTTATCCTCCAGCCAGCTGCACTATCTTTAAACCTGTAAACGTTGTAGCTGAGTGGTCCTCAGCCATCCCTGTACCATGGGCAACCATACGGAGCAAGTGATGTAGAGCCAGTAATGTCATTCTTTGCTCTTCCTGATGATTAAGGAACTCTGTTTACTAACACAGGCTCAGAGCACGGACACGTAGGCGTACTTACAGTCAGCCCTGTCTGTCCTCGTGTATCAGCCGGGATGCCCACTTCGTTCATTTGTGGGTGCTCTAAATGTGCAGCAGCAGCCGCGTGACTTCTGGTGGTTTTTTTCCTCCGATTCAGCCCTATGCACAGGCTAAGCAAGCAGTGGCCTGAAGTGGTGGAGGATGACAAACTGTAGCCTTGCTGCTTAGTTTGACTGCAAAGAGGAGCTGGCCACTGTCACTGCCATTGAGGAGGAGAGTGGTTTGGTGGGACAAGTGCTGGTGTGAAGGGAGGAAAGCCCTGCCCCAGGACATGCAGTTGCCATCCTGTCTGATGTCCTTCAGAAGCAATAGAAGCAGCAATCCCTGTTTGCCAGGGCTTCCCCTGGCTCTCCTTAGCTCTGCCTCTTTCAAAACATGGAGTTTGCATGACCCCTGCACAGATAGTGTGGATTTAGTATGTGACAAAGCTCTCCGTATACTGATGTCTTCTCAGAAGACTTCCCCACTGTGGAAAAAAAATCTCGTGCTCAAAACTATAAGTTCACCAAGTCTATAAATTTGAGATTGGTTATGGATTAAGTTATGTTTTGTATTTTAAAGAGGACTATGGAAAAGTGAATAATGTTCTGTAGAATTGAGAGAGGCTAAAAAAAATCAACCCAGTGAGATACAGGATAATGTTTGCCTTTCAGGATTACAGCTTGTGCCATGACTATGAATAAATATGTGGAGGAAAACGTTTCTCAAAAATCCTATACGACAATAAAGTATTTCATGAAGATGCTGAGCAGTGTCAGTGAAACCTTAATCTTCATCTTCATGGGAGTGTCTACCGTTGGGAAAAACCATGAGTGGAACTGGGCCTTCGTTAGCTTCACCCTCCTTTTCTGTTTAATCTGGAGGGCACTGGGTAAGCAAGTCTGAGAGAACGCATCAGTCTTCTTTGCAAGTGAAACTTTTTATCTCTTGTTGAGTAGAAAATGCCGAAAGGGTCTCATCAGCTTGTAGAATGGCCTTCTTACTTGTAATGTGTCCTAGATCACAGGGTCAGCTTGCACCTTCCCCCAAAATGGAACCCAAAAGATCAGTTTGGTCCTGATCCTGCCTGTCTAAAGTGAGAGGCAGTCTGGCTTGTTAACCAGTACAAGAGTACATGTATTTAAGTAAAAATGTATTTAAAAATAAGCAAATTTTGCTTGGAAGAATTGGCAGTTGTACAACAATTAAACAGATTGTGGGTTTTTTTTAATTTATGTTTACTAGATTTGGGATTTTCCCAGTTATTGGCATAAATAGCATCAAAACAGGAAATGCCGTAGCTGAAGTGCTGTTCAGGTATATATTGTGAAGAAAAAATTCCTATAAGAAACTGCTTGATCCCTCCTGAGTTTGCAGTACTAGCTGTTTTCTTTTACCTTGAGACCTAAGTGCAGGTCAGGCTTGTAGGTCTTAAACCTGTCCCTCACCCCAGTTTCATCTGTAATGATCCGGTCCCTTTGTGTGTAAAGGCATGCTCCGATCTGCCTCTGCACCCCTACTTCAGGTCCCCAGTCTCCCTCCAGTGCAGAAAGCTGGACTATTTTCCCTCCTGAGCCTGCAACCCCGCACTTGATACCTTAGGCTGCAGAGCAGCCTGGCTGCCTCCAGCTCCTGGCCCCCGTGCGTGCTCCCTTCACCCGCCTTTACTGCACCTACACCTTTGCTGCAGTCCACCACATCCCTGGAGACTTTGCCTTTGGTACACCAGCACGCACTGGCATCTTCTCCGTCCACCCCCGGTCCTGCATCCTTCCTGTCTCTGCAGGTGAAATTAAGTGAGTGAGTAGGAGTTTGCAGAGTTCAAAGCACAGATTGATGGAGGTGACAAGCCAAATAGTTCAAAAGCACCTCAAATCCTATTAAAAAAAAATTAGTAGTCTTGGTCTATACTGACACAGAGAATTATTGCTGTTCTAGAGTTGCAGGGTCTAGCAGATAGCTGTCTTGTAGAGATCAGTTAGCTGCTTCAGGTCCTAAATCCAGCTGTCCTGAGGTGGTTAGCTCACTAAATATATTTAAGATGATGCTCCTTAGGCATTTGAAATTTTTCTTCCATGGTGTTTTCAAGCTGCTAAGTAACATTTCATTTCTTCAATAATATATAGGCAAGAAGGAAATAAAAGTGTTTAAAACCAAATACTAGAGTTGTGGGGGATTTCTGTGTAATTTAGTTTCCTTTTATTCCTTCCTCCCTGTATTTCTGTTCTTTTCCCTCAGGTGTTTTTGTTTTGACTCAGATCATTAATGTGTTCCGGACGATTCCTCTCACTTTTAAGGACCAATTTATTATTGCCTATGGAGGCCTCCGAGGAGCTATTTGTTTTTCACTTGTATTTCTACTTCCTCCTGCTGTGTTTCCCAGGAAGAAATTGTTCATCACTGCTGTTATCGTTGTGATATTCTTTACCGTTTTCATCCAGGTAATACCTTTCCTCTTACGGACTTCTTTCTCAGACAGATTGTAAATAAGCAGTGGGTAGAAAAGCAAATGCCCTGACTCGCTGGGAGGAACATATAGCTGAAGGTACTTTCCATGGTCACAGTTTAAAAAACAATGCTATGCAGACTGCAGACAGGTAGCAAAAGTATGCCAGATATTAAGTACTTATGCTAACATGTAAGTAGTATTAAGCATTTAAGACCTAGTGAGGTTGGAGTAGAGATAAAAGATAATCTGGGTACAGCCCCAGCACTAATTCCTTGTTAGAATATTTAAAGAAGTTGTGCATTTACGCGGGAGTTTGGTGTTGGATATGGTGCGCAGTGAGCAGGGGATGGAAGACACCGAGGGCACTGAGAGGTGAACTGGAGCATTTGATCTGGGTGTTAGGCGGTGATGCTGCAAACCAGCTGCACGTCCAACCAAAAGCACCAAGTGTGCAGAAGAACGTGAAGAACTTGACTCTGGTGTCAACCTGGCCATGGAGGCCTGGTCAAGAGTGACCAAGGGAGGGAGAAGTGACTGAAATCAGTAAAATGTAGAGAAGGCTAAGCCCCTCAAATAAACACGTCAAGCTGGTCATTATCCAGAGTGGTGAGAGAGATGTGAGAGGCTAGTACATGGAATTTCAGGTCTGTGGGAAAAAAATGTATTTTTCAGCCTGCGTTTTGCACGTATAAATGGGAAATGTGCCATGGGAAGTAGCAAGTATCTGTGCTTGTGCGAGGGAAAGGGGAAAAGGTGGCTGGAGCGTCTGGAGGTCAGTTAGTTGACGTTAGCATGTAAGCTGTGAAAACTGATTTTGAATCACAGAATCACAGAATGGCAGGGGTTGGAAGGGACCTCTGAAGATTATCTTGTCCAACCCCCCTGCCAAGGCAGGATCACCTAGGGCAGGTTGCACAGGAACGCGTCCAGTGGGGTTTTGAAGGTCTCCAGAGAAGGAGACTCCACAACCTCTCTGGGCAGCCTGTTCCAGTGCTCCGTCACCTCACAGTAAAGAAGTTTTTCGTCATGGTGAGGTGGAACTTCCTGTGCTGTAGTTTGTGCCCGTTGCCCCTCGTCCTACCACTGGGCACTGCTGAAAAGAGACTGGCTCCATCCTCCTGACAGCCACCCTTCAGAGATTTATAGACATTGATAAGGTGCCCTCTCAGCCTTCTCTTCTCCAGACTGAACAGCCCCAGGTCTCTCAGCCTTTCCTCATACGAGAGATGTTCCAGTCCCTTAATCATCCTTGTAGCCCTCCACTGGACTCTCTCCAAAAGTTCCCTGTCTCTCTTGAACTGGGGAGCCCAGAACTGGACACTACTCCAGATGAGGCCTCACCAGCACAGAGTAGAGGGGAAGGAGGTAAATGAAATGTGTTATGAAATGCAACATGGTTTACCAAAGGGAAGCCTGATATCATCCTTTGATAAGGCAATTTATTTTTTAGAGTAATCTCATCTAACTGAACTATTGTTAACTCTTCGGGAGAGGGGGCTACATAGGAGATTGTTAGCTTAACTACTTGTTAAACTGGAGTTTAGATTGCCATTAGCATGACTGTAAAGTGAATGAAGAAGGAGCTGACAGTTTCTTCTACAAAGGGTAATGGCAGCATATGGTCCTTTGGGTCAGAAAGAACCTCTGGGGATCTCTAGTCCAACCCTGTGCCCACAGCAAGGCCACCTTGCCTTGGGCACCTGCTCCAGCGTTTGACCTCCCTGGTCTGATAACAGGCTGACAAGATGTTACTAATGGAATTCCTCAAGGATGGTTCCGGGGGATGGTTTTGTTTAATATTCTTGTTATTGACCATGGCACATAAACGTAAGACTTTTTGTTGCTGATGTTTTTTGATGACAGGCTTTGGAAGGTGTTCTCAGGGTGATAGTGAGATGGGGTATCTTGTGGAAAGAAGAGAATAACTGAGGGCCAATCTAGTAGAAACAGAATGAAATTTAACAGTAATAAGTGCAAGTGTGTTCTTGCTAGGACTACTTTACTAAGGATTTCTCTTATGAAATGGGAGCCTTTTGTTCGGGAAAAAATAGAAAGGGAAAAAGAAATAGGTGCACTAATTGGTAACAGGGCAGAGTTTAAGCCACCAATGCAGTGAGGACAGAAGAAAGGCAAATCTGATCTTAAGACATACTGAGACAGGTATATACATCAGAGAATAGCGTCATGTTCTAGAGTGGTCACAGGGCTGGTAAGCCTGTCGTGTGAAAGGAGACCAGGATGCCTTGGCCTTAGCAAAATGAAGGAGAAGAGGGAATGTAATTACTGTTTATATGAGGGAGTGAACACCAGAGAAGGAGGAACACCGATTAAACTAAAAAGACAAATGTTGGCAGAAGAACAAAGTGGTACAAAGTGACCATGATGCAATTAAGAAGCAGCTTTCTAATTATCAGAACAATGAGGTTCAGGATGAGTGTTCCAGTATGAGCAATGGGACAAAGAAACCTAACTACTTTTAAGATAAAGTTCTATTCATTTACAAAAAGAAATATGTGACCTGGTTGTCTGGGGTAGTAGGGACTGATCTCAGCACCATGAGAGATTCGTTCCTCTCCCCTGTGCCAGTGCGCCTATACAAACGAACAAATTATGTGAATTCTTCCACACATAATTGTATCATTATACAAAACCATTATATCATTCTGGGATAGCCAAAACGTTTTGTTCTTTCTCTGAGAATAGAGAAGGACACGTATTTACAAAAGGTCTTAGTGTCATGACCTTGAATAGCAATTTTCGTGCTCCTGTTTGGGTACCTGTTTTGGAAGTAATCACTAAAAAAGAGGACTTTATATGTTTCCTTGGGAATGATGTGGGATCTGTTTATTAATTCAGAAAACAAGTGAGGGTTTTTCTAATACATAACAGAACTGAAAAAAAGTTTAAAAACACTGTGGATGGGGTAAGTGATGGGGTTTGTCAGGTTGCGCCTCTTGGACCTCTTAGCTCTAGGGAGCCTCTTCCTTCCTTCTGTTGCATTAGTGGAGTCTGTGCTGACAAGGATCGTAGCTAAGGGCAACACTTGCTAATCACAAGAGGGAATTCACTATTACAATTATTGTGTCAGGCTGGATTTTGGGCTTAGGAAGGTGAAAGGGTATCTAGAGCTAAAAAGGTATCCACAGCCATTTTCAGTACTCTGACAGAGATGAAAAAGACTGAAAGGCTTTTTTTTTTTCTTTATATGTATGGAAAAAAACCCAGAACTCTTTGCCTTTTTTTTTTTTCTTCACAGGGAATAACAATTCGCCCACTGGTGGAGTTTCTTGATGTCAAAAGGTCAAATAAAAAGCAACCTGCTGTCAGTGAAGAAATTTATAACAGGGTATGTTGCAGCTTCAGTGTCATAGATGAAACCCTCATACAGATGAAATTCCTAGTGGCTTTCATTAAGACAAGGATTCAGCATACAGTATTACAGAGAGGCACACGCCCTTTTAGATTTCTTTTTGATAGCTGTTATAAGCACAATAACTGTAAAGTTTATATTTAAACTTTGGCAATTACCAAAATTAGCACTATTATGTATCATTATTTTGGAATCTTCACTTTCTTCCTTGTTCACCTCTTGAGGTAAATTAACTTTCTGTAGTTTGTTTCACATATGAGATACGTGCTATTTTAGAACTTGGTTACATTAGGAAACATTTGTCAATTTAATTACATTACATTGCATTTCAGTTAGTCTGATTAAACAAATGCAAACTCCTCCTAAACACACTCTTAAACTTACTTAACACTCACATCATCAGCCTCTTTATGGATTTACATTTGGTATGTGTGTGTCTCCAATTATTGCAGTTTATTAGCCATGCATATTCTTGAATGTATTTCTCCTTGCAGCATACCTGTGGCAGGTGGTTTGAAGTTCCAAAAATGAGGAATAATAAGGAATAAAACTTCAGCAAAGAAGTCAATATAGGCATCTAAAAGTCCATCCTCCTTTGGACATACCTATCAGGATTTCCCTCTGAGTTTGAGACCCTTACTATGGTACTTGAATTAAGAGCAAAGGAGCTGCCTCTGGGCATCAAGTGAGATCTCAGCTGAACTGATTCACTCTTTTGTAATTCACAATAGGCTGAGGAAGAGTGTGTTTCTAATATTAGGTGATCAGGACGCTTTGAGGTGAGTCTAGACCAGTTCCCTGCAACAGGAGCTCAGGACCTGATGCTGGGTATCTCAGCTCTGTCCTGTGCATCCCAAGGGGCTGGTGCTAATGTGGGAAGCTGCTGCCCATTCAGGCTCTCTCCTCCACAAAGTCATACCTGGTTCACTGTCAGGCCTGGGGAAGTCCCTGGAGAAGTTCCAGGCATAGCTTTGAGTTGTTAGGGTACTTAAAAGAAGTGGAAATGTGGGAGAAACCTTTAGATTCAGGGAGGAGCTGAGCAAGATTGACATTGAGGAAATCAGCAACTAACTTCTGTCCTTTTGGGGCTGTGAGCTAAGGAAGCTCCAGGGGAGCAAAACAGAGTCCGTTTCTGAGTTTGGTTAGACGGCATTTAGTTAAACTGAAGCACTGTCCTGAATTCTGACTAGATGTTTCGGTTTTGCAGTAAGTTAGAAGCTAATGAGGTCAAAGGGGAAGCCAAGTGATGTCTATAAGTTTATGTAATAAACCAACGTTTCCCCTTTAGTTCTTTGACCACGTGAAGACTGGAATTGAAGATGTGTGTGGACACTGGGGTCACAACTTTTGGAGAGATAAGTAAGAATGGCATTTAAAACTCTTTGTTACACAGGAGAGGCTGAACTGGCTCAGCAACAACAAACGAAGGCTGTTGGGCATCATATTTCATTTTCAGCATTTTACTCTTGAAAGCGGATGGTTGTTTTTAGAATGTGTGGGTTACAAAGGGAAAGCAGCAAAACAATGTCGTTTTGCTAAACCGCAAGCAAGTAGAACAAAACCTCCGCCTGGGAAGAAAGGCAGCCCTCTGATCCCAGGGTAAAGTGTGGTACCTTCTGAGGGTGACTGTCCTCTCTCAGACTGTTTCAGAGTATTTCCTGTATGTCTGCGGAGCCTTTCATCCCACCCAGCTTTCCTCCTGCAAATCGTATGTCTCTGCGGTGTTGAGGGGTTAGTTCCCTATTTGGTGGGAAACCTACCAAAGCTTTGTGACTTTCTCTAGAAAGGCCAAGGCACTAGCTGGCATGAGGCACATGGGAGATCCTAATGGCAGGCAGCTCCACAGTTCTTGATTATTTAAGACTTAGTGTCAGTTAAGAAGATTACCACCAGCAATACCTGAGCAATTCATGTTTTCACCTTAGCTGCTGAATCATCGTCATCATTGGCTTGGATCTAACTCCCTTTTCTCAGAAGCACACTCTTTTACACCCAAATCCTTTAGAGCCAAAGCGTGGGCATTGCTCACCCACCTTCTAGTCGCTGCTCCAACAAGAATTTAAGTGTTTTATACAAAGAGGAATAGCACCAGCAGGAAGGGCTGAGAAGAGCCCTCTCCAAATGACTTGAGGGCAACACAGTGAGGACACTTTCCTGACAGATGCATGACATGGGTACACCTTTCCTTTACTCAGTCTTACCGTCCTCCAGTCTGTCTGAGATCTTTCATTAACATTATGGAGAAAAGGAGGGTCCCACCTCTTCATGACCTTCAGATCCAAATTCAAGAATAATTTCAGAATGGCTAGAGGGCGAAATATTTTCTGACAAACAAAATCACCCCAGCTGTAATCAATATTTTTTCACTAAGCAACAAAGAGGGTTGCAGTTGCTTTAGAGGAAGGGACAACATCCAAAGTTTTGTAAGAGCAGGCTAATATTTCAAAGAAAAAGCAATTGGTGCAGATTTAGACCTTTTATTTGTTATTACAGTAAATATTTAATGTTCTTTTTGTCTCAATAAAAATAAAGAATTAAAAATAATATTGTCTAATAACAGAAAACCTAAAAGTTAAAAGTTGCTGCTAGGGAGACTGTCCATTAATGTATTAACAAAAACACAGGTTAAGACTATCTATCTGAAGCAAAGATGAACTTGACCCTTTTTTATGTTACTCAGCAGTAGGTTTTTAATATGAACAGACACATTCCCAGGGAATAAACTCCTTCGCAATTGCATTAGCTACAGTATATTGGCTTTCCTTAACCACGCACAGTAAAAATTAACTGGTTGGGTTGCTTTGCCTCACGTACAGGTTTAAAAAGTTTGACAATAAATACCTGCGAAGACTTCTAATCCGGGAGAACCAACCCAAATCCAGCATTGTTTCTTTATACAAGAAGCTGGAAATCAAACATGCCATTGAGATGGCAGAGAGCGGAATGATAAGCAAGGTGCCATCGTCGGGCTCTCTCAGGTAAGCAGGCGATGCCAGCGAGGCCGAGCATTTTGGCTGGGTCACGTCATTTATTTCACAGCTCAGTCTGTAGGCAGGATAATCACTTTGATTTAGGACACTTTGTGTCCCAATGTCACCTGAACAGTAAGCGGAAACGGAACAAGAGCGTTTTGCCTGCAGCTCGTGCACGAAGCGCTCGGTGAGCTGTGCTCGTCTGGTGCGAGGGCAGCTGCTCATGGGAACATTGATTTGCCATCGAGAGGAGAGCTGGATTTGAACCAGTGCCTGCCCATCTGCTGTGAATAGCTACAGGGGAAGCCGGAGGGGCATTTTGAAAAGTCCCTTAATCAAATCTACAATTTAATGTAATTTATATCAAATTTTGGAGACTGAGTTTTGAGCCTTACCACTGACTCAAATGAGATCAAGATTTCATTCCTACATGTTATGTTTTCACCCGTTCCTTGGTTGTTTTGAAATGCTGTTTCCAACTCTAACAAAGGAAACAGTTCAAATGTAATTCCCAATCATAAAAATAAAAACTTTCTTCCCCTTTCTCTCTTTCCTCTATTTTTCTTTTTTTATCCTGCTGCAGTGAATATCATGAAGGAAAGATAAAGCCGCTTTCTCCCACTGAAATGGAAAATATGCGGGAAATATTAACAAAGAATCTCTACCAAATACGTCATCGAGTAAGGATGAAGTTTTGCATACTTAAATATCCCACTACTCTTTGAATATACTGATTATCTGCCTAACATATCTTTGGGCTAGTACATCTGCTGTACCATAGCAGAATCATTAAACCTGTTATTTACTTCTATTGCCTATGAGTCCATGTCCTACCATATGTACAGCAAAATATTCATATTCCTTTATGTAAATATCTTACTTCATCTTACGTTATTGATAAAGCTTAATTTTTTTGTCATATTACCTGCAATATATTTACATTATTTTAAAAGGATCACAGGTGGAAATTCAACCCAACACTGTTCACTTATATCAGTATTTTGGTCACTTCATGATATGGGATTAGATTTCCCGTTTGCCTCCAGTTGTGAAGTTGTTTGCATTAAGAGCAGAGGTGGTGAGCTGGAAAAATAGCGAAACAAAAGCAAAAGGACATTTCACATTTAGCCTCCTGTGGCTAAGTAGTTTGAATGCCTGAGCCCTTGGAAAACATTCAAAAGTGGAGCAAGCTTCAGTTTGCTGGAGGTAAAAATGACTTCCCCTTAGGTGACTCATCACCTTCAAATGTGCGTCCTCTGTGGACATACTGACTGAGCCAGTACAATGTGGGGGTAATCATTGTATTAAGCCAGCTTCTTCTAATTTCTCTTTCATTATAAATATCAGCAGGTTAAAAAAAAAAACCCAAACAAACCAAACCAAGCAGGTGCTTGTGAAGCAGATGACTAAAAAAATGCTGGCATAGTTACTGTTCTTATTCTTAATCATCATCTGCAATATGATTTTGTTCACAAGGATTTACGATGCTTATTAAAACATTAAAGCAAAAAGCCTGTTTTGCACTGGGCATATTGTTCAACACATTTGACATTATGCTTTTCAGAATGTGACCACTGCTTTTATATTTCAGACAATGTCATATAACCGACATAGCCTGGCTGCAGACGCAAACGAAAAGCAGGCCAAAGAAATTCTGATCCGTCGCCGGCACAGCCTTAGGGAGAGCCTGAGGAAAACGAACAGCCTGTCAAGAGAAAGACCGGTACATGCATTTCAGTTGTTCTACAGAAAATGGTTCTTTGTAGCTAAATGTCCTGCAGAAAAAAATCTTCTGAAATGCAGAAAAAATAAATCCTGAATTCGGAAGACAACTAGACATATAATGTCACACTTACACCTTGAGTTGCACACATGGGCCCCTTAATTTGTGTTGACCCCTGCAGCAAAGCTTCAGTCTTGCAGAATGTGATATAGGAGTGGGATCTGCTGCCATAATTTTATCTCAGAGGAGATGAACAGTCTCTGTACACAGTGTACTTCTAAGGGACGGTCAGTATTCTCAGTCAGTATTTTGATGAAGCGTGGATGATCAAGGTCGAAAATGACTTTGGGATAGACAAACTACTTACGGTGTGCTCCAAAATATGGGAAAGAGAACTTTTAATCGAGTCAGTCAGAGTGAGCTCTTCATTTGAAAATTGTTGTGGGATCTTTACTATTCATAAAATGTAGTCAGGACTTCAGGTTTTGACACAGAATAAAAAAATCCTCTCTGCCTACCAGAAATGCTGTGGCATGATAATGTTTGGCTCTCTGAGGCAACCCTGCAATACCTTCGCTGTAAATTTCAGACCATATTTGAATGGAGCACACTGATTCAGCAGGGAAGCTGATCCTCCAAATCATCTTCCCATTTTGGGTACCAGGGAAGTTAACCATCCAATGAATATGTATTTTCATGTTACAGGAATATTTAGTAACTGTTGTCTTCATTGATACGGGTGTCCTTCAGCAGCTGAGGCTGTTCTGAATAAGTGCTATATCTCATTTGTGATCATTACTGGGGCTACTGTGGTGTTAATTGTGACAGTGTTTGTTCCTGAATTATTTTTTTCCCTCTCAACCACAATTACATATGTTGTCTTTGTCATACGAAGAAATGATTTACTAGGTGGGTTGATGAAGAACCTTAGCAGGACTGAGACATTTTTGGGGCAGGGAGAGATACAGGGTGTCTGACAGCTTTTTAAAATGCACAGGCTGTAATTTTAAAAATAATTAGCCTTGGATAAATCCACCACAGAGGGGAGCATAGAGGTCCTGAGCAGCACAACAACATCCAAAGAGGAAAAATCTCTCATGGAAAAGAAATTTCCTTTCAGGTTCCCTTTGAGTGTGCAACAATGAATGGTACGAACAGAGGAGAGCTGGTAGATTGTAAGGGTTTTTAAGATTGTAAAGGATTGTAACAAATGTAAGAAAGGATGCCCTTGAGAAACTTCTGAATTTAAAAAAAAGCAACCTGTCCTGGAAAGTACCTCTCCTGTTCCAGGAAGTATGAGGTGTGCTCTGCTCCCAGGGCCTTTAGAGCTTAGTCTTGGGAAAACAAGGATTTTATGCCCTGAGCTGGTAAATGATCACGCTGGTGCCTAACTTCCCCATCAACTTCAGTGTGACTAGTCAACTGTATCGAGTCATTTATATGTATAAAGCGCTTGCAGGACCGGAATACAGATTAGTTCTTGTGCCCGAGCTTCAGTCTCAACCTAATTTTTGCAGCTGACTAACAGAAAATTTCAAACTGTACTTGTATGAAGTAATGCCATGCTTGCAGCGTTTACCTTCAGTCGTGGTTTAGCCCCAGCCGGCAACCAAGCCCCCCGCAGCCGCTCGCTCAACGGGGGAGAGAATCGGAAGAGGAAAAGCGAGGAAACTCATGGTCTGAGATAAAGACAGTTTAATAGGCTCACAGTGTTTACCTTCCGTAGGAAAAACTGTACAGGTAGGGTTGAGGTTAGAGAACATACATTTATTAACTTTGATCTCGGAGGGCATATCACGAGGCTTTCCTTTGATTAAGCTGCTTGAGATTACTCAGTCTTTACCTTAGTTAGCACAGACCTCAACCAGCAATCAGCGTTAACCTGAGTGGGTAGTAAAAGATCACATATTAGCTAATCCCAAACTACTCTCCAGCCCTTTAGCTACATAAAACCATTCAAGCCTCAGTTGTGTGTCTTAACATACATTATGCAGGTACTTCAGTCTGCAGTAACTTAACATTTCTTATATATCTTTGCACGCAGGCTGCTGCAAATACGAAAAGATTCCTTTCACTTCCTAAAAACACTAAACTCCCAGAGAAACTACGAGTGAGAAATAAAACATCTTCCAGAGGTAATGAAAAATTTTCTGCTGTCTCTTACTGTGCTGCAGTCATTTTCCCTGCATAGAAGGAGTTTTGCCATGATGACATAGAGAAATCAGCATATTATTTTTCAAACAAATATTAAATGTTTTATGTGCACATGCTTTCATTCTAGAGTTAATACCTTCAAGGCATATTTCTAGGTGTTAGATATTCAGCAGAGGTCTAGCAGCATTAAAAGCAATGGGTCCTAAAGCAGGTATTTGGATGTAGAGAAATGCCCAAGCACGCAGAGTCTCCTGGGGCTTTCTCAGTTCAAATGCCGTAGCGGCGTAGTCCTCCCAGCACATCTCCTCATGTGAACAAGCAGCAGCCTGAAACACTCCTGCACCAGAAACACTGCCATGGCTCATTCTCCTTGTCTTTATTCCATAATGTCCAGATCCCCTCTTGGATTATGAGCCTATTTGGTTTCTTTTCTCACCGGGGTCAGGGTAGAGGACACTGCTCTGAGAAACAAAGCAGAGAGGAGAATGAGGGCATGAGCTCTGATTTATAGTTCTTATGAAGAACATCTCAAAGTGCTGTGGTTTACAACCAAAATGTCTTCTTTTTTTTTTTTGTGTCTAAACTCACATATGTTTTATATTTAAGTTCTTGAGTTCTAACAACAAAATAAAAAATCAGGAGGAAGACAACCATCTGATGTGAAAACTTTGTCCAATTTTATATATTACTTTTGATTATTGCTGGTTGCATTACCATGCTTATACCATGCTCAGGAGCATTTCCTTTCACAGCAAGCAACCATCAAGATCTCCTACTCGGAAGACTAAATCTCTGCACAGTCACCAAAATGTCCTGATCCCCACCCCACTCCTCCAAATTAATATAGCAATAGAACGTGTTTTTGCCTGTTAATAACTACATCTTTGCTCTCCTGGATGTAGGATGCCTTTTATTCTGTAGTCATGTCTGCAGAGGTCACCTACTGTCACCTAGAATTACAGAGGAAATGTGCCTCCAGATTAGTCAATTGTCAAAAAATATATTATTTGACATATTTAGGGAGGAAAAAAGCCTGCAAACACAGTCTGATGAAGACCTTCCTTGATATATAATTATCTGTGTGAATGGACAATTATGTGGTAATATATTTTGATGACCCATTCCTCACCTTTTAAAAAGAAATAACACGTAGGCTACTAATGGCTGTTGTTCTTATGACAGTTGCATGACACACAGTTCTTTGCTTTGATATATTTAAAACATCATACCTGACTTAAGTCTAAGAACAAATCTGAGGTATTCATAAATGATTGTTAAAATGATTAACAAATGACTGAAGTGTGCAAGTTCTGATGAAGATGTTAATCAATTTAAAAGAAGTCTGCTGGGGAAAATATATGCACATGTACACATCCAGAAAGTTTCCAGCTTGGTTCACCCGATAGCGATCATTTAAGAGCATTCCCTGAATGGTTATGCCAGCTTTCCCTTGACCATTTTCTACCCTGCTTTGAGAGGGTGAAAGATTCTTGCAGCACTTGCAACCTGTGAGATTTGCCCTATGGATTTTCTTTGATATCTTACATTCAGGCATATTAAAGGATGGGATGCTTCCTCCTGTCTGTACATTGACCTTGGGAGATCCTTTGACACTCCTTTTCCAAAGGCAAGTTTCTAGAGCCCCTTACATGCTGTGCTCTGGAAATGCCTCTCAGATCAGATTTCATGGGATGTGAGGGTGAGACATCTCATTTTTGTATCCTGCGTGGACGTAAACGGGGACTAGACCACAAGCAGCTCGGAGAGAGACAGGTTTTTCCATGTGCAGAGCCAAAACTGGGGAAATGTCAAGTCAAACGGGGGGCACTTGGCGATTAAGGAGCAGCTGAGGGAGGGCTTTCTAAAAATCACAGTTTTGAGGGGAGGGATGTTTGTAAGTCAAATCTATCCTCTGTCGTGGCAGAGTGAAGTGTCTATTACTGGGTCTAATCAGAAAGCACGGAATTCAGGAAACACGGGGAAACTTTCTTCTATGGCTGTTAGTGCTCAGTGTGCTGCTATTTGCATATTCCTGAAACTGTAATATTCTGCACCGAAAATTTTAATTTTGTTTTCAATTAACAGTGGGCGACAGCAGTGATTCTGAGATGGATGCTGCTACCACAGTGCTCAATCTAAGACCAAGGGCAGGGAAAATCTTGAGAGACCAGAGACTGAGGCAGCAGAGGCCACTGCCTGAGTTTAGAGTGGAGTGGAAGAATGAAGTTGGCGGGAGCCAGGACGGACGAGGAGGGCAGCAGGAGCCAAGCACCTTGCCTCAGCCATCCATTGGGTTCAGGCAGCCACTGCTGACGAGACCAAGATTTGGCACTTTGAGCAGGGAAGATTTGACTGCAGACCATGGGTCAGCAAGACCTATGCCACCGCCACGGTTAGTCAGGCAGGCATCGCAAGGGGAAAGGCAGAGAAATAAGCCTGAGAACCAGCCATACTGAACATAGCAGAAAGAGAACTATTGGTAATAAACCATGGACGTAATGAATTAGGATTCTAAACTATCTGATCGGACTATGGGATCCACTGAAAAACCACCAAGCCTCAATGTGGGTCTAACCACTTCCATTTGGGTAAAGTCAATGCCATTAACTAAGTAAAAGGAATACTGGAGCAATTGCAAAGCTGAAGACATAAAAAAAAAATAATCCCTTTTATAAATAAATTATGGCAATGCTTTAATTACATTATTTCCACTATTAAGATAGGTTGGAAATGTGCCTTATCACATCATCTCTTGTGGAACCAAGTCATGCAGGTTCAATACCCAATTATCCATCAAAAATCATTGTTGAAAGTCCAGTGATGAATGGGTTCTTAAAAAAACTTTGTATCGTTTCAGATTCTATTTATAATCAAATAATACTTGTTTTAACCAGAGCTTTAATAAGAGTAACACTGAAAATTGCACAATGCACCTATCATACAGACTTTGTAAAAAGAATATGTTCCTGAAGCCCAGTTTGTTCAAAGAGCTGCGATGCAGAAAAAGAGAGAGAAGAAATAAGCTGTAGGAGCAGAATTGCAAATACAGTCTAAGAAGGGAGTTGCAACAGAGACAAGACCTGAAGAGCTTGAATTTTTCCTTTCTGAATTTTTGGCAATATGTTACCTGTGAAAGGAACTGAGGATCACCAAAGGAGATCTAAATTACCTTGACTTTCACTAATGTCAACAAGAGCTAAGAGCACCTAGCATGACACCAGAAGCCCTAAAAAGAGAAAACTTCAAGCGGATAAATAATGTTCTTATTCAAAATTGCTTTTTTGCACGTTAGTTTCTTGGTTGCAGTACAAATACAGCAGTAGAATAGTTGGAGAGCAGTGCACATAGACAAAGCAAGCAGTCTCCTGTTTGAGTCAGGGACCACTGAGACTCAAGAAAGCTTGTTCACTCACGTTTGTGACCCTGGTCAACTTGTTTTGCTTTTTGTTTCCTCATCTGTAAAAGGGGAAAGATAACCTTTTCTTTGTCTAAGCTATGCACTCCAAGGAACAAAAATGTTCCATCTAATTTTTTTGTACAGAAAAGTAGCACAGCGGGGCCCTGGAATCAGTTGAAGTCACTGTGCACCTTAATAACACCCATAAGAAACACGGACTTCTGCATCCTAGTGTAAATGGCCGCCATTTGAGTGCATATGGGGAAGGGAGGATGCATTAAAATAAATGATACTTAACTGTAGCTCTCAGGAATTTGCACTTTCTGTCCCACTTAATCTTTCTTAAGTTTTGAGCTTGCTTTAGCACAGATACACATTTCAGCACAATGCAGAAATCATTTTCATTCTACTTGTTACAAGATAGATAACTTTCATTGAAGAATGTACACTGTGAAATCTTTACTTTTTCATTAGCACATTTCTAAATCTGTGGGCAATAAGATTAATTTTTTTTTATTTAAGTTTGTTTTGAACTATTAAAAATCAGAATTTCCTTTTAAAATCACAGGGTAGACTTCTTTCAAAGGTTCACATGCGGGGTTGATAAATTAGTTTTATAAATGGGAATTTAAGACTTTCCTCCTTCTAACAGCTTTTCCAAAATATTTATTTCACATATATATTTGAAATGTCAAGCCTTGCTAAACTGTTTTACTGGCACAGGTCTTTTAGTCTTTTTCCTCCGTTCCAGCTATGGAAGTGTCTGCTGTGTGTCAAGCACAAAGGTGAAGCTGCAGAAGGGTGGCTATGTGAACCCTAGAAATGTCAGTCAAATGTTCATGGCTACTCTCAGCAAACTATTTTTGTGGAAGGCAATACTTAGCTATCCTTTAATGATCATCTCCTATTTGGAAATAAAACTGGGTTCAAACAAAGCCAGCAAGCTTTAAAAACAAATTTGAATTTGTCTTCAACGGAAAAATATGTTTCATCAGTGAAATTGTCAGCAAGTACTCTGTCACTGCATTATCAGGATCCTGTTTGAGTAAGAAAGAAGCCTTGAGTTTGGATTTCAGTTTTGAAACCATGTCCTCCTTGCAGATCATACTGTCTAGATTAGTTGTTTTATATCAGGTCTATCTGAAATCTGACCAAATAAATAAATGTGAAATGTTGCACATCAACATTTAGTTTACTGCCTGTGGAGCTTTCTCATTCATGTGCTGGTAATGACCAAGCAATTGCCTTGTGTCTGGGGAAAGTTGGCTTTTTTTCCAAATGGTTGTCATTTTTTATGGCACAACTTTAAATAACGAATGCAGGTTTCAGGAACCTTACTGCTTTGCTGATTGTCTGTTAGTACAGCGCATGCTCACATCATTGGCACTTGAAGTGGGCATCCCATAGTACAAGCGCATCAAGTTGGAGGTAATTTTTAATGAAATATGGTCTTAAACTCTCAGTGCTTCAAAACATGCTAGCATGTTGTTGCCTTTCCAAAGGCAGATCTCCGGCATGGTTACGCTGTGAAGCAGAATCACAAATCTCCTGGGACGCTGCCTCCTTGCAAGTGCTCCTCCCTTCCTCACTCCTGCTCCTCCCACCCTTTTCAGGCTCTTTTCCACTACTGCGGGTCAGACCCTCATCACCTTTAGCAACTCCTTTCCTGGGTGTTCTCCTTTTCAGTAGCAACGATAGCAGCAGGTGACACAGGCTGTGTCCCAAGCAGCCCTTCTCCGTAACTCTTGCTCTGGTTTGGGTCAGAGGTTTGCCTTTTCCTATCTTCTTTTTTCTTTTCCTGCAAAGAGAAAACAAGTTCAATAGCATTTTTTGATCTTTCTAAAAGGTCCATCTAACTTCAACTTGCAGAGGAGCCTTTTCCTTAACGTTGTATCAAAGAGAGTTTGTCATCTGGAGAATGAGGTGCCAAATAAATCTGTCCTCGAGCACCATCTGATGGGGAAAGTCATGCATTGACTGGGGACATGCTTTCCACTTTTTCAGGAAACTGCATCTTCAGCGGTGACTGCGAAACTCGCCAAGTCCACATACACATTTTTTGTTTCCAGACGGGCTCCCTAGTACACTCCATAGTACTGATATTTTACTGCCTCGGTGAGGAGGCACGATGCCCAGTTGCCCAGTTTTAGGGATGAGAGTATAAAAAACATGTATTACACTGTGAATTAGCGTTTTCTGATCGTTTCTTTCCCCCTTCAGCTGCTGAGAGGCCTATAAATTAAAAGTAAATAGGGTAAGGAAGTAGGTATAGCAAGGGCTAGAGAGTAGATAGACATCCAGTTATCTGTTTTAAGCAGATACTTGAAAGAGAAAATGAGAATAATTTGCCATAAGAGGCAACATTTTAAGGGCTGTCCTACTTGGTATCAGATGCAAGCTCCACTGAAACCACAGCTGTTCAACAAAAGAAAACCATGCGGCATAACAATTTAGAAGCTTGAGAATATCCTTCTCCACTGAAGCCACATAAGAGTCACATGGAGAAACAAAGTTAAAAATTTGGCCAAAATAACATGCATGCTGTCATGAAAAGTATCTTGGGGTCTTCTGGTAGCTCTGGTCACTGCACCCTGCACCACCTTTTTCAAGAAATGCCAAGTCCAGCAATTCCAGACACCAGCAACATTTTAAGGCTGACACTGCAAGAAATGCTTTAGCTGGTCACCATTTCCAAAATTGTTCTGCCAACATCCCCCAGCTCCTGAAGAAAAGACAAAGGATTTTGAAATTGGCTGGAGGAATGCTTTTTGTACTACAAGAGCTCTGATCCTATAAAAATATACTTAAAACATGGCATCTGCAATGCACAGCCCCAGCCAGGCCAACCATAGATTGGAGGCTCAGGCCAGAAAACATAATGGAGGGGGTATCAAGTCCAAGCATGAGGAGGAGGAACTGCTTTAGGACACAGTAGCGAGAGAGTTCATGGACTACCTGATTTGGGTGCTATTTAAATTGGGGAGAGATAGGAGGACTAACACTTCTTTTTTTATCCCTTATTTTAGCAGATATAATTTGCACTTTCTAGATGAACCGGCAGCTGTGCTTGACACTGTCAGTTGTGTGAATGACCATGAGGAAGCTGTCTTACAACTTTAAAGTCAAATAGTTTCACCTCCCTCTTGGCCTATTTATTAGGTAGCCAGCTGAACGGGGAGCTACTTAAAAAATATTTTTTAAATGCATGGCAGCTTAATTCTCCTCTGAACAGTTGAAGGAAACTTCGCATTTGGGATTTAATCGAAGTTGGGGATGAAAATTGTCCCTTTTGGAATATTTTGTTGAGCCACTTGAGAATTTTATCCATTAGAAGAATTCTTCTTGCAGGTGGTAGACAGATCTTCTAGCAGGACAACACGATGGGAGATTGGGTTAGCATCATTCCTCTCACAATTCAGCAAACGCTGATGCGGTTCCCCCATGTGTGTTGGAAGCCTCTTTATCCTGTGAGATTTGACAGAATGAGAAGGACTGAGGTTGCAGAAGAGAAAGCAATAGTTACACGTGCTGCTCTGGTGAGTCTCAATGGTCCATGATCTGAAATGTGCTCAGGTTTAAATTTGTGATTTGTGAGTTACAACAGTATTTTAATTGCCACAGGTTTTGTTTCAAGAAGTCATTTTTTTGCCACAAAAAGGCAAAGGCATTTTAAATACCCCAGCTTCTTTTATTTTTCGTATCTATGACCTCCTATTTACTCAAATTTGACAGAATGGAAGAGCTGTTCCTATCGTGTAGCACATCTCAAAAATAGTTCTTTGATGCTAATTTAGGATTTAAAATAACTAGTAATTATTTGGCTTAATTTCTCATTGTAAGTTAAAACAAGTTTTTCAAGGCTTCCATTTAAAACAAGCTCCACAAACTCTTTCATTTTTCTGAGAAAGAAGTCTGAGCTCCACTCACAATCACTCGATTCTTGAAGTTCAGGCTCCAATATACTCCCTTACAAGATTCATGATCAGCTGTCTGTGAATGAGTCTTCAAAATTATAGCAGTAACAGCACAGTTGAGTCTTGGGTTTTCAAATCCCGAAGCACCAAGCTATAAAGCATCACTTTCCATGGGGTATTTCCCCAGCACCCATAACCAAATGGGGGCTGGCATCACCTGAACGTACCCACAGAGATTCCCATCAGCTAAAATGCAATGGCATTACGGAGTGCTTGAAGTAACAAGCAAGCCAGTTGGTAAGCAACACTTTTTCTGTTTTGTTGCTGCATTATCTGCTCAATTAATCGACCTGTTCTCAGAAAATGAGAATGGTACTGACCTCTGTGATGCTGCTGCTGTGAGTAAATTCAGAGAAAAGAAAAGAGGACAAAAAAATGAAATCTGCAGAACAGGTATGTTTATAAAGGATCTCTTCAAATGTATGCAGCGTACACCAACATGGAATAAATCTTACATTGCTTCATCATTTCAAAGCAACAAAATCAGTACATATCATATGCTACCAGCTATTTTACAGAAATAAATTACTATATTGTATACAACATCAGCTGATCAGAAAGGTCAGAAAAGGTCACTGTTAAAAAAGTGAAAATTTCAAAAGGAAGAAAGAAACCCAAACCCTGCCTACAAGGCCAAGAAAAACAACCCAAAACTTAAGTAACAGCAAGAGAAAAATCTTAATTTGCAGTGATTTGCAGATAGAAACTTTTTTCCTTTAGTCCATATTCAGATCTTTTGTTAGTCTTCAGATACCACAACTGGATTCAAGAAACTGCTGAGTAATTTGGTAAAGCCCACTAGACTGAAGCCAAAAATAGCTGCAACTGCTCCCCCCTCCAGGAATGTCATTTGCCCATCTCTCTCTGAACTTGCACAGTTATGGCAACTAAGAGACAACACAGGGGATCCCCTGTGCACTGCAGGGGGCTTGGGCTAGGTGACCTTTCAAGGGCCCTTCCAACCCAAACCATTCTGTGATTCTGAGGCACACATGTCTCCAGGCACTAGGAACAGTAGCTTTAAAGCACTCCATCTCAAAACTGGTAAGTTCTCCATCCTCTTTTATTTCTTCTTTTTCATTCACTATCAAGCCACTTGGTTGAATCCTTGGCTCCTGTGCCTTTTATGTGAAAAGTAGGCAGATTCAAATGATCATCTTAAGGAACAGCTTAAAAAAACCTGCAAACAACTGCACTTTGCACCAACTTGAACACTTCTATTTTGTGCTATAGTTTCAGCAGAGGAAGAGGGGAAAAAATAGCTACAAAATGGTAGACGTAGAACGTCACTTAATTTGAGGGACTTCTATTGTCACTTCATTTTATTTCTGGGGGGGAAAAAAAAAAAAAGGGCAACTTTTCCATAACCGAGTCTTTACAAAGAAGAAATGTTTCTGCAGCACTTCGGAAATCATTTTGGCCTACAAGTAAAAAACTTTTCTTCTGTAACATCAGTTGCAACATGCCCTTGAGACCACAGCCTTCCACAGATTTCTCAATTTGATTATTTAATTTCCTTTTTATTCAGCATATACAAAGAACTGTTTTTCAAAATAAAACAATAATACTTGCTGATTGTGGAAAGCACATTTTTCACTTACATATAAACAAAAACAGTGAAATTTTGAAGTTTTTATAAGCAGAAAGGCAATATTCAGGCAGCTGTATATGTTAGTATAATCTGAATTTTATGGTGTTTACAGAATTCATCTTTAATCAGTGCAGCAGCTTAGAAGGGTAAATGTTATCTGTTACCTCATATAACCAACAAGTATAGTAAAAACTACTAAATCTTTCATATATATTTATTTTTGAGTTTTTTTTCTTACCCTTTTCCTTCACCCCTTGCTATAGTTGCAAAACAGAAGTCCCTGACTTACAGAAGGGTGGTTTTAGGTAAAAAAAAATAAAACTAATTTTAAAAAAATGGAAATAAAACAGAAAATTTAGGGTGAGAATGTTTTGGGGCATCTACCAAGCAAGACAAGAAGAAATAAGACACTTGAAAATGCCTCAAGTTCCTAGGGAGAAATAAACCACAGATTACTACAATAAGGAACTCTGAGGATACGTACTGAAGTCATAGCAGTAATAAGACACAGACTTGTGATCTCAATATTTAAAATCAAAACAACTCAGAGTTCTATACATATTCCCATGGTGCTGCCACTGAGCTTTCAACAGGGATTTGAATGATAGCAGGCACCAGAAAAGGTAAAGAATAAAAAAAAAAGGCAAAACACCATCTATGATTCTCCTGAAGCAGCAACACTATTTGCACAGATGTGTTCAAGGAGATGACTAAATTGGTTTTAATCAAAAATATCCCCAACCCAACAATTATACATAGCTGACTTTGACTTTCATCAAGTAATACTAGGAAAAGCATATGGAACCTTGTTATTGCAAAATACATTTTTCGTAGGTTTCAAATGAAATGCAAACAGGGGTGACTGGCAAGTGATATGAGCCTGAACAGTAAATGGCACAGGAGAGTGCTGCAACTCTCAGCGTAGCTCTGAGGGTAACCTCTCATTAGTTAAGCAGTGCAGACAAATGAAGACTAAAATACCAACAAATAAAACAGTTTTTCTCTTGTCACTGAAATGTCACTTATGCCTCAGAGATGAGAGAGAATGCATCCAGATCCATGAACTACCGCTAGTTGCTCCAGCACATCTTTACAGTCATTCAAAAGAATTAAGAAGTAAATTTATTCTTAAAATGAAGATAGAAAAAATTGCACAGGAAATATTAACAAATAATTTATGACAAAGTTTCTCAGTAGAAGTTATTACTAAATGAAACCACCATGTCAAGTTTCCATAAAGCTTACATTTAGTCTCAGTTTCAGTCTGAATGACCAAGTATTATTCTAAAATTGTCCATCTTAGGCCTTCTAATATATGAAGTTAGCATATACCCAGTTCTGTTATCTGAGAGACCAGGAATCAGCAGGGAGCAGATGGCTACCCCAAGGTGCCTGATCACGCTGTGCAGCAAGTTTTGTAGACAAAGTATGCTTAACAAAATCACGTAAGCAAACTCTGTTAATTAAGCTACTGTCACAGCATACAAGTGGCAGTAGGCCACAGCATAAGAAATTAAGGCTAACGAGCGATATTGCAAATTCTCTTTTTGATTAAATAATAAAAATTCACCTCTGAATAATAAGAATAAATTTCTGTCTTTTAACAATCTTATCAATCTAAACACCATTCCAAATGTGAGCTACAAGCAGGATTTGTGTATTTCATGTCACTTTTTTCCCCTCCAAAATGGTTAAAAATCCATAAAAAATTCCCAGCCAGTACAACACAGCGACACCTGTCCCTCTCACAAGTGTTCTAGGGGTACCAGTTAGAATAACATTTGTCTAGAATTAACATCCCTGGAGCAGAAACATTTATATGTACTTGCTTCCACATGAACATAATGTGCCCTCTTAAAAGATCCTGTTACTACTGTACAAGTCTGGCAGGTGTAAGCATCACCCCAGGTTGATTCACTTTGTCTCTCCTGTAAGATACCTCTATGCAATCCAAATTTGCAGCTATTGATTTTTTAACTTAACATTTCCATGGCTACAGTATTTTTGTTTGTTTGCATTCATTATCAGAATAGCTACTAAAGCTAGTCCAACCCCTAGACTTGGAGGGCCACAAGGACTGAACTCCTGAGAAATTCCAGAAAGAAGCGGGGCAACTATACGTCCCACTGATGTCACAGATTGTCCAACACCTAGAAGTGTACCGCTGGCCTCATTCCCACCAATGGTCAATTCAAGATCAATGATACATGTACGACCTATAGTAGTTGAAAAGGCTAAGAATGTAGAAGACAAAATGACCATCCATATGCTCAGTGCTGACGCATATAGGAGAATCAATGTGCAGGTAAGAGTGCTGGAGTGCAACAAAATTCTGTAAGTGTTGTGCTGATAGAGTCTTGTTATTGGTCCGAGCAGACAACCAGCCAGGACTCCAAGTGCACTACTATAGCTCATTAGGTATCCAGCAAACAAGGGTTTCACCCCAAACCTCTCCTCCAAGGCCAGACTAAAATTACTGTAGTACAGCAGTATAGCAACAGACATCAGCAATCGCACTAAAAATATATCCCACAGATCAGAGCACGCAATTCCTTTAATCCTCTTCAGCACTGTTGCAACTTGGATCCATGGAGACTGGAAAAGACTATCACTTGCCACAGCTCCATTAGTTGCTGATTTCGGGTGCAGGTCACAATTTGCTTTTACTGATCCGTTGCTGCCTTGTTGATGTTCCCTATTACCAGTGTTTTCTTCACTCCAGGGTAACATCCAGACAAGACCTATACAGACCAAGAAATTAGCTGATTTCATTCAATTGCATTAACTTTACGTGGAAGACATGAGTCTGATTGTAACAGTTTACTTAGTGTAGAGATCAAAAATCAAAAAAGGACTTTTAACAATTATTTAACTTTAAAAAAAATTACAAAGATTAAATCTAGTGTTATTCACAGTATTAGTTCAATTTTAAACACAGCGAAAGCAAAGAAGGAAAACATTGAGGTGACACATTTGCAACATACAAGCAAATGTAAAGGCTAAAGCAAAAATTCTGATTTCCTGTCTTCATCGTTGGGCACATGAAAAATTCCCATTCTTGTGTCCAAATGTAAAAGTGATATATACAATACAAAGGTGAAGCATCTGGAAGTTAACTGTTTCAGAATTCCTATCCTTCCACACAGGTTCAAATTTAAAGTGTAATATCAGTATACAGAACACGTATACCATCGATGATAAACACACCATGAATTCAAGGTATTACAAATGCATAAAAACACAAAAGTGAGGAATGAAGGCACCCAAGATGCAAACTATGACATACAACTTACCAGCATTCAGAAGGAAGATAGAAGCACAGATGAAAGACGTTTGATAAAAGCCATCTTCCAACTCTGTAAGGTAGCCACCAACGACAGGCCCCAGAATGAAGCCCACACTGGAGGCTGCATTGAAGCGTCCCATTACTAAAGGGCGGTCTCTCTTAGAAACCAAGTCAGAAAGCAGAGCTTTAGAGATGGAGAGTGTGTGTTTGAAAATACCTGCAACATAATAAAACCAAAATAATAAACATGTATTGCTCAGTCCGAAAGATTTAAAATGACAGAAGCTATCTGAAATATCTATGTTCAAAATCTATTTTTAAGATCCCATAAACCACAAATTCTTCAAGGTTAGAGTCATGCAGCATGTTGGGCCACGACCATCATCCTGGCTGTTCAAAGGTCTGGACTTCAGAATCGAAATTATTCATGCATCTGTGTTGAAGGAGTGCTCCTGCAGCCCTACTGAAAGAAGTAATTTAGCTGACTGCTGGAGCACACCAGGAATAAAATAGCCGCTAAAAGAAGAAATTATGGGTGAGTAGTGGTGGAATAGGAATGGCTTGTCTGTTAATGAACATAACTCTGTACAAGCATTGCTGAATATGGAGATTTCCAGGATTGTAACATACCAAATTCATATGGGAGACTGGTGGGTGGCAAAAGAGCACAGAAGGGTAAGTATACTGCAGGAATACTAATAATGCAATCTTTTATGCTCCTTCCCTCTGATGAGGACAATGCTGTCACAGTCCCAGTGCTGTTCGCATTAGGAAGTATTACCTCTACCAAGTAATCAAATATCAACCAAATAATTTATTAGCAAATTGTCTTTAAATTAAGAAACAATATAAACAGTTCCTAAATCAGGACTATGGGCCATAAAAATGCCCTTTAGTAGATGAGTTCACAGTAATAGCAATGCTTTGGTGACAGGAGGTATCCCTCAGGGGGGTCTGTGTTAAACAGATCAGGACTGTTTAATATCTTCATCAGTGACACAGACAGTGGGATCGAGTGCACCCTCAGCAAGTTTGCACATGACAAGACGAGTGGTGCAGTTGACACGCCAGAGGGACAGGAGGCCATCCAGAGAGACCTGGACAAGCTAAAGGAATGGGCCTGTGTGAATGTCATGAGGTTCAAGAAGGCCAAGTGCAGGGTCCTGCACCTGGGTCAGGGCAACCCCCCCGTATCAATACAGGCTGGGGGGATGAAGGGATTGAGAGCAGTCCTGACGAGAAGGACTTGGGGGTACTGGGGGATGAAAAGCTGGACATGAGCCAGCAATGTGCACACACAGCCCAGAAAGGCCAACCGTATCCTGGGCTGCATCCAAAGCAGCGTGGCCAGCAGGTCGAGGGAGGTGATTCGGTCCCTCTACTCCGCTCTGGTGAGACCCCACTTGGAGTCCTGCATCCAGCTCTGGAGCCCTCAGCACAGGAAAGACATGGACCTGTTGGAGTCCGTCCAGAGGAGGGCCACAAAAGTGATCAGAGGGATGGAACACCTCTCCTGTGAGGACAGGCTGAGAGAGTTGGGCTTGTTCAGCCTGGAGAAGAGAAGGCTCCAGGAAGACCTTATTGCAGCCTTCCAATACTTGAAGGGGGCTTATATAGGAAAGATGGAGACAGACTTTTTAGCAGGGCCTGCTGTGATAGAACAAGGGGTGCTGGTTTTAAACTAAAAGAGGGTAGATTTTGACTAGATATAAGGAAGACATTTTTCACAATGAGGGTGGTGAAACACTGGAAGAGATTTCCCAGAAAGGTGGTAGATGCCCCAACCCTGGCAACATTCCAAGTCAGGTTGGACCTGGGGCTCTGAGCAACCTGATCTAGTTGAAGATGTCCCTGCTCACGGCAGGGAGATTGGACTAGATGACCTTTAAAGGTCCCTTCCAACCAAAACTATTCTGTGATTCTGTGATTATTTTATCAGAATATATGCAAAAGGTGTTCAGCTACTATAAGAACTGTGATAGGAACCCTGGCACAAACTTAGCTTCAACGCTGCAAATGTACATGCTTTTGCACAACAGAAATATTCCATTAAAGCAGGGACATAAAATTTCAGCCAAATTTTGTAGTATCACTTTGAGGTGTATTTTCAACATGAGAGAAAACAATAATGCACATATCATTCCATTCTGCATTGCAAGTGCAGGCCAAGATTTCCAGCAGTGACCTGGTGTGTTGTGTACCTGTTATGACTAACTTTACAATAGCCTCTTTCAAGGAACTGCTGCACTCCTATTTTCATGAAATTCAGCCACTCAAGGTGGCACAAAATTTGTGACAGGTTTTGAGCATTCATTTAAAATTATTTTCAGAAAAAAGTCACAAGAATGTTTGATTTGCAGAGATTTTTCCATTTTCAGTTGGTGCTCCTGGATGATGATACTATGTAGCCATCCACATACCGTGATTTCTCAAGAAGCAATTCTCAATCTGAGACTACAGGGAATTTAAACAGCAAAATGCCAAGCATTTACTCACCTACAGGGACTCTAGAAATGGCAAACAAGAACACAGTGGTGGATGTTCCAAGAAGAAAGTAACCCAGTGCACTGAGAAGAATACAAGCAAGCAGGGAATACCGTCTTCCTACTATATCACTCCAGCAGCCCTTTCATAAAGCAGGAAATTAAGTTTAGCTTTTTATAACATTTAACTATGTACATTACAACATTTAACTATGTACAGTGAACAGTCTAGTACTTCCAAATGAAACTGAGAAGAGACATCAAAGGATTGTCAGTGAAAGTTTAGTAAGTTTATTACACAACACTCCTAAGTGGTCAAAATCTGGAAGTGATGAGCAGAGTTCTGCCCAGCCGGCAGTGGACCTGCTGAAACTATCGTTCTATTTAATGTCATGCATACAGCTTTTTAAAAAATAATTTATCTCTTTTAAAAATACAATTCTGCAATAAGCACCATGAAATATGAGTAGTAGGAGCCCTCAAAGTGTTACCACAACTGACCACAAATACTTCTTTGCACCAATGGTCGCTATGTACTAGACACTTGTTGAGCATCCTGAAAGGAATGATCTTAGCTGTAAGGAGTTTGTCACCTGAGCTCAGACAAGTAGGAAATATTTATGAGAAGGGCAAACAGTAAATTAGTATGTAGCATGCTTATAAATCAGCTTGATTCCAGACAGGAAGTTTTTTTAAGAAAGTAGGCAATAGTCTTACAGTTCAAAGAAAATGCCACAAAGACTACAGACGCAAAATATCCCAGGTGGTCTGCATAACACACTCAAACAGTTTTTCCTCATGAGATGCTCAAAATCTGCTCTCTTGAAAGACAGGAGGTACCAGGTTAATATTAAAGGTGCTCCTGGCTAAATGCAAGGATCTAAGGTATTGATAGGTAAAACATACATTAAAGAGGTTCAGCCTTGATGTTTAGTCTTTGCACTCTTGCTTAGATTAGGATGTAAAAAAATCAAAAGCTAATAGAAAACAAAACCAAACAAAGCTCAAAGGCATAATGCATGAATTTAGGCCATATGGCAAATTACAAGGCACTAGTCATTAAGCAGGGAAAGCAAACTCTAGATGACAGGCTCATGAAGAGCTGACTTGTGAGACTGCTTTTTGGACAGACTACTTCACTGAAGAAAACAGCTTGACTAGCACCAACACTGAAGAGAGCCCTGTGTAACTGAGATGCACTCAGTAATGTATGACTGAGCCCAAACCTGGATTCTAGTTTTTGTCTAAAGACTATTCTGTTTATTTCTGAAAAATTTGATAATTCCCTATAAATGAAACAAACATTTTCCACACAAACTAAAAACTGGATCCACCAACCAAAAATGTTTATATAAACACTATAACCATTTAAAAAAAATTCAAGAAACTATCATTAACCTCATTCTTTTTTCCCCTAAAATTTGTAGAAATACTAACATACTTAGGAATGCAGTGTTAGAACTCACCACAAAAGTGCTGGAAAATAGTTGCATTATACCATAGAGAGATCCTAAAACAAACAAATAAAATACCAATGTTAAAAATTAAACTTTTTTTTTTAAATGAAAACTGTGCAAAATTGTTAAATTAGGAAACGTGAGAAATTCTGGGAATAATTTACTAGAAGACTAGGAAGAGGGAGCAGGACAAACCAACGGTGGAGTTCAGCACAGCCAAGGAAACAGTTTCTGCTGAAAGCTTGTGTACAACTACGTAATGAAGAAGGATGTTGCTTTCTATATGTATTAAACACAGGCACTTATAATTGCTTTCTCAGAATTAGGAGAGAATTTAATTACTGGGAGGCACTAATTACTTTCTGCTTGGCACTTCAACGTGTCACAAAGCACCACCCAAGCCCTGAAGAAACCACAGACCCTACACTTTCATTTTGGAGGCTAGGAGTTTAGCAGCAGTTAGTAACAGAATAGAAGTAGCAAAGAGAAGCAGAAAGAAACATCTGCCAGACTCTTTCATTTATAAGAACACACCTCAAAATACAGTTTCTTTTGAAGTTAAAAGTCAAAGCAGACTGTTGAGATGAAAACATATTTTTGATTAATTGCTGCTTAAAATAATACTCGGACAACTCAGAGCAGAACCAGAATTATTTAATGAAAAGTGCTAAATTTCATCAAAAAAGCAAGGTAATAAAAAACTGAATAACAGAGCCCATGTCAACCACACGTAGTTATAAAGACTATTGTTCTTGTATCATTACAAACCATAAACAGTACCATAAGATATAAATAAGAACTTTAGAACCAGGGAACTTCATCTTACCACTTCATTTTTAACATCAAGTTCCAAACCTTCAGAATTTACTTGTAAACACTCCTTAAAGACAATAAATATTTTGCCAAAAGACAGCTGCAAGGAATTTAATCAAACTGGGAGCAATCATGGGCTTTGGAAAGATCAGGGGAACCAGCTGCAAAAGTACTGTTTGCAAAGCCTGTAAATAACAATAAAACTAAAAGTGACACCTCGGACTCCCAAAGTTGCTGAGCTGAGAATTTTTGGATGCTTGAAAAGCATCTGTACAAGTACTACTGCAAGACTTCCTTGTTCTTTCCAAGAATGCTCTTTCCCAAGCACCTTCTTCTGGCTACTGTCAGTATGCAAGTTTGGACAGGTCTGTGGGACTAACACAGTATGGCTGCCCACACAGTTTTACTTGGAAATTTGCCTTACTTTTTATTATGCTACTAGCAAGGAAGCATTATGTTACAATGTCCAATTTGCAGTAAGGCATAATCCAGTTCACATTATCTCATTCTGTGTTAAATCAGTCAAGTGCTGCAACTCACCTATTATTCCAGCTACTGTATGACTTGCTCCTAGAGATTTGATATGATGGTTCATCAAAGGAACAACCATGCTCACACCAAATAAATCCTGAAAAGAAGGCAGGAAAAGTTTTAGTAACTGATCACTTATACAAAATTATGGCAACTTGGCTTAATAACAGTCACTATTAAAAAAAAATATTTACATATTAATAGAAGATTAAAAGAAAATTTTTCATGGCCAGTGTGGTATGTTGTAACCTCTACAAGGCATCCAGTATGTACAAAATTACAAAAACACATAAACTGAAAGATAAAGGATTGCCTCACAGAGGAGTTAAAACTACGAAAACCGCAATCCTCTTTCCTGTCCAGATACAATCATTCTGAAGACATATATTTAAAAATTTAAATATTCCTTTAATATATATTAAATTTATCTGTTTATAAAGAGGAGTACATGGTACCAGTGTTTTAAATTTGAAGTGGTCTGTAATTTCAGTCACTTAAAAATACTTCTTACTTACACAAAAAGAATCTATCTACAGTATCTTAACTCACAACCACAGTGGGGAAGAAGCTATGGTAGATCTAAACCTACCTATAGACTGTCTTTGTGTATAACTTCAGAAACGTAGCAAAAAGACAGAAACGTGAAAAAAAAAATTTAAAAAAGCAAAGCATATGTGGAAAACGTTTTGTCTAGGGAGGGCAAAAGACACTGCCCATCCTGAACAGGGATCAAGGATCTCCTACCCATTCCTTTTGTTTTTTTTTTATTTTTTGTTAAGCTACCCATATTGACCCAGTAGTTCTTTCACTACTACTATCTGGCATAGCATACAGTGTCCTATATCAGAGCAGAACCTTACAGAAGATCTGTTGGAGCAAGATCACCTTTTATCAGTGACTGCTTGAGCTGAACTAGACTAGCCCTGCACAGTATGCCCAAAGCCTGAATAACTGTAACAATGTGTATAACTAAGTAAATTCTCACCGTCTGTCATTAAATATCTTTTGACGGTTGAAATTGAGAATTACAAGGTTAGAATCATTATTAAATAAATTAGCATAAGCAAACAGAGCACACGACTTATGAATATCTTCAACAACACAATCCTAGTGTCATCTGCAAACCTGAAGAGCAGTGCAATAACCTTGTCCAGGTCATCGATAGAGACACTAAAATGGGCAAGTCTCAGAATATAGTCTGGCAGTACTGGACTTGTCATAGGCATGCAAGTGGAGCAAGACCCATTAACCACTATCCTAGATGGGTGGTTATTTCTTATTTCACCTATAATTTCTTATCTCAAGTGATAACTCAGCTGTTCCGGGAAGCTTGCATCACAGGCAACACTTCTTTATTACGATATTTCACCACACTCTACACCCTGTAAAAGGGCACCCACATGTTGGCTGATTTCAGTGTGTACCCCAGCTTGGCATCCACAAGGTATTACAGGGTCGGAGAACCATAGTGTTTAAAAACGACCTAAGCAGCAAAGCTTCTTCTAACGCACCTTTTCCTGGAATATTTCCTCCAGGACCCAAACCAGCTAGATTGTTACTAACTGCCCAACCTAAAGGCAAGTGACAGAATATACCTACATTTCACAGTGCAAATTTGTACTCATTTTGTATTACTTTTCCAAGTTATCTCTTTTATTTTAAATTAATTCAATGACTTTTTTCCCAAGGCTCACAAATCACTACAGAATACAAGCCTATGCTATGTTCTTTCAGTAAGGGTTTGTTGTTTTAGCTGTTGTTTTTTTTTAAAGCACAGGGTTTTTGGGGGGGG